GACGCTTCGCGTCCCCGCGAGGCCTCTGGGCCCGCAGCGAGGGACGAAGGCAGGTGTCAGCCAGCATCTCATCCCAGCTGTACTCACCTTCTTCTCTCTTTGGTGGGCTCTCCATCACCGTCGGCTGCAGCTTTGGCTCTGCCTGGGGAGGCTGGGTGGCCAGGGGAGGCTCCGAGCTCTCCACCTGCTGCGCCGGTGGGGCTGGGACCTCGGCAGCCTTCGCTACCTGAATTTCCACGCGTTTGGTGGCTGTGTCGGGCGCAGAGGAGCGTTGGCCATCTCGGCTCTTCGCTGGGACATCTCGGGGATCTTTGATGCTGGTGCATCCACCCTCCGGAGACCCGGCTCCTGGGGCTTGCCGAGGGTGATCTCAGTCCTCCTTGGGGTGGGCTCGGGGGGTTTGTGCCCCAGCACATCTGCTCTTTTGAGGCCAAACCTCGACAACCCTGAGGTGGAGTTCTCCACCTGCTTGGATGAGATGTCAATGGAGATTTCTGTTCTTCTGGACACCGGCTCAGGCAGTTTGGGTCCAGAGAGCTCCACTCTCCTCAGAGGGGGCTTGGGTGATCTTTGGCCTGTGGGGTCCGCATGCCGGGCAGGTGGGTCCAAATTCCTGGTGCCAAGCTCCTGAAACTTCTGTGTGGAGCTGGACACAGTGGACCTGAGGAGGGGGTTTGGGGTCCGTCTTTGTGGGGTGGAGGTATTTGAAGACTGGTCTACCTCCTCGACCTCAAAAGACCTCTTCAGAGCTGAAAAAGACAAAAGGAGTTCAGAATTTAGTTACCATCCACCCGAGCATCTCAAGAACTGCCTGAGGCTCATAACCCCATTTCTGCTCCTTTGCTTGAGGGCTCATAATCCCACATAAAGCGGGTGAGGACCAAAGGCCAGGCTCTGCTGCTTCAGACAAGTTACAAACCCGGTAAACAAAACTGGAACGAGAGCCAGGAAATTCAACCCCAGAGTAGAAGCTCCACCCCATCCCACAGGGGAGCAGAGGGCACCGTGGCAGCTCAGCAGAGCAGAACATGGCATAGGACTCAGGAGCATCCATCCATCCAGCTCCTCAATGCCTCCCTTTCCCTCTCACATCCAAAGGATGCACAGATACAGGCTCCCCAGTGAGAGCTGCCAGCAAAATCCAAGCTGGGAACAGGAAAACAACCCCAGGAGAGCGCCAAATGCACATAAATGCAGCAAGAAAACCAAAGGTGGCCAACCATGTGGGAAGCACCTCTGCTGCTCCAACCCCCTGGGAAGGACCAGTGTGTCCGGGGACCCTCCGTCCCTCAGGCACATCCGTTCACCGGAGAGGAGCCATCTGGCGCAGCTGGGTCCAGCCGGGGGGATGGGGGGGGCCGTCCACACGGCAG